ATTGGGACAGGGAGGTCACTTACAGGTCTGGTGGCCGGCAAAGTGAAGTCTTGTCCCTCCAGTCAGTTCCCTCCCATTCCATGTTATGGAAATCATTCGACTTCCAGGGGTCATCCTGCTTTCCTGGCACAACCCTGGCCTTGCTTTAAGTTAGGATTAGAGGAAGCTGCCTACCAAATGTGTTGGTCCTAGCGTTTACAGGTTAGGAGGACTTGAACAAACAGATCTCAGACGACAGACGTGCGCAAATTCTCTAAAAACTCTCAAAAATATGTGTGTACATATGACAAATGTCCTGTTCATTAAGCATTGGACTAAATGCCAGGAACTCCAGATATTAATTGAAACGCCACCTCTGACTCCCTTCTGGACCCTTCACTGTCGCTGGGCCAAATTGTGCCCCCATTGAATTTAATATCAAAACTACTGACTTCAGAGGGCAAAATCCTGGTCAAAGTGTTGCTCTTCCTCAACTGTCAAACTGGCAATACATCACTTTCCATCAGTGTTACGTACCAGCTCCTAGCCTTTCTTTTCCTATGCTCAGAAAACAGGATGCTTAATGTTTTTATTTCCTCTGAATAGCATTTTATGTTCCTTGCTGCTTAACATTTTTGTTTACAATGCGCTGTTTTTTTCTTTTTGTCTGTTTGTTTACATTGGATGTTGCTTTTTGAAAAATGTAAAGCCTTCAGCTTCCACACCATCAGCAAAACCTGCAGCAGCGAAAACCAAGCCACTGTCCACTACAAGCCCCAAGCGGCCAGCTTCTGCCACACCTGGCCAAAACAAAAAACCCACCAGCCCTACCGCAGGTCCTACTTCGGCCACCACTCCCAAACGCCCACCCACCAGTACTACACGTCCCTCCACTTTAACTCCTAAAGACACTAAACCAAAGGTAAGCGAGACTATTTCATTTCCATATTGAGGCTCCAAGGACTTGTAGACTAAAATCGAGGTAACTTTTCTCTGACTAGCAGCAGTCAGTAGGAATCACTGATAGTATAGTTCTAGAGACAACAATGCGACAAGAGGATGAAAGCCCTGAGCTTACTATCAGAGCTGCAGGGGCAGAGGAATCTGCCTCCATGGATCTAAGCAATAGGTGTATTTTGGCACGATGGGACAGGAAGAGCCAGAGAGGGTTGAAACTTGCCTCTGGGGTTGGTGGTTATTTTCTTGAACTACTAAAAGGTGCTCAAGAAAATTCTTTATTTGTTTTGCATTTAAAGCAAAAGCTTGTAACCTTGTTCTTTATGATATACTTCAGAGAATTGTTGACTTAATGGGATTGGATTGGGAACTTAATGTTAATGTTAAATCCCAAATTCTGTACAAAAAAGTTAGACAAAATATAAGTCAACAAGAAAAACTGATAAAACACTAGGTAAATAAAACTACTGGAGTATGGGGGGAGGAGGGAAAGGGTACAGCATAGCTACAATCTAACAAGGCAAAGCAGAGACTATTACAATTATAGCTGGGTTTAAGTTATAGCTGGGAAAAGTCATCTTAAATATTATGCAACTTCATAGAAGATAGTTAATAAGGGACTGAAAGAAGCTGCCAATACAGGTTGTGAAAATCTACAGTCATTGGATCTCTTCAAGAACACAGACTAAACACCCATCTCTTAGGTAATATCAGTTGTGACACAAATGACAGTATAGACTAGATGACCGAATAGAGCTGCTTCCATTCATAGTTCTGTGAAATCTTCTCCAGTGTCTTCTCAAATAAACGCCCTGAAGAATGG